CGACACCAAACTTCTACTCAACTTCGGAACGACGCTGGAACTCTGCCCGATGTTGTAACTAATTTTCAATCCTGAAAAGATTTATTGTAATATGATCGTTCTAAATTTTAAGGACAAGTTAGCCTCTTGTATTCCAAGCAAACACTAGTGGAACATTTTCAATTGGGCGTGGCCCCGTGATTTTTCCCCTTTCAGGGTTTTCCACGTAAAAATCCTGTTGTTGTTATTTCTCCTCTGTTTGTGTGCTAGATATTCGTACAACGCTGAGACAAAAACTTTTTGAACTCTATCGCTGCGTATATTCTAGCCCGCAACAAATTTATAACACTTATTCGTCATATTCTAAAATAGTTTAATAATTATTTCAATATCAATACAATTAAATATTTATTTAATAATATATAATTAGTCTATTTACTTTTTTGATCTTGGAATAAGCAAATGCATTATCCTAATAATTAAATATTGACTTAATAGTAATTTTATAAGAAAATTAAATTAGTGATTCGGCAAAGTACATGGAGGTAAAATAGAGAGGAGAAACTGTGAAATCGCTCCCAAGAGGTTCACAAATTACCATGTTATTGAGCGGAACACCATGATTATGAAGGCTGGAGTATTAAGACACTTAGAACTGAGTCGCCTCTCATATTTGTTTGTAATAATAACTACTTGTTCCAAACGTCTCAATCTCTTTTGCCAAATATATATACCAGTAATACCACCTACCTACATATTCCTTACTTTGAATAACTTTACCGTTAGTAAACTCACATCCTATTATTTTTATTATTATTTTTTATGAGATTACAAGAATACATAATGTTAGCATAGTCACAGTTTAGCTTTATTATGGGATTACAAGTGATGAAAGACCTGATCGAAATGCTTCACTAGCTACAGCAGATACATATATTCAGTAAGTAGAGAAGTCAGAAGAACAGTATAAAGTAGAGCATTCGTACGTAATGGCTGATTTCATTGCTTTCCAAAGTATACAGTAGATGATAGCCACTGTTGGAGAGAGTGACGTCAAGGCCAAGGAACTGAGATAAGGTTCCTAAATTGCGCATATGAAAACGGAGCTTGTTTAAGTCCGATCCATATAGAAGAGTAGATATAAAGTCTTGGTCATTTCCACTGGCTAAAATATTGCCAACATAAATGAGGAAATATATGGGGATGTTGGTGTTATATATACATCTTGAGAGAAGAATCAGTTGAGCTAGAGTGCAAACCTTGAGCTGTGAGATACGTGGAGAGGGTTGCTAATTATTGATGATGAGCTTGTTTAAGTCCATATAGAACTTTTTTTAGGAGAAAATATGATTTGGATATTGGGGATATTGAAAATCTTGTGGTTGTGATTAAATGTGTGAGCGAGTATAGCTGACTCGTGAGCCGGCTCGGGCTTGACTTGATAAATGGTTCGTGAGCCCAGCTTGATGAGCTAATGAGTCAAGCTTGAGTCAGCCCCGACTCGACTCATTAGCTCCTAAGCCGGCTCGTTTAAAAAAAATTAATACAAAAAATATTTTAAGAATATTAATATTCAAAAAATTTTAAGTACAAAGTTTTAATAAATATTTAAAAACTAAATCTTACTTTCTTATATTAAGTGATTTTTTATTATTTTCTTATAATTTATCATTTTATTATAATAACTGCTTAAATCATAATCATTTTATCTCTTTCATAGTAAACAAGTTTGCTCGTGAGATTATGAATGTTTTGTATATTTAATTTAAATTTTTTGCCACATGATTTTGAATTAGCAGCTATTTTTGCCTACTCATAAATTCATTTTGACATTTAAAAATAATGCTTTAATCTAATTAAAGTTTATGAATATTATTTTACATGTTCTATTGTTATTTAATTAATTTCTAAAAATGTGAATTTTTGCTCAGTAGAGTTTTTTGTTGCCTACCATTATAAGCACAATTATGTTTTTTTTTTTTTTTTTTTTTTGCCTTGAATTTTTTTTTTTTTTTTTGCAATGCCTTGAAAAAAGAATATGAATAGATGGTTTTTATTACTTTTGAAATGTTGTGATAGTGTTATGCATGAAAAATAAGTAAAGAATGGTTATTCCCTGATGTTGACAGGAGACTGATTAATATGTACAAGATTGTGGGACAACATGCTTAATTTCTTTTAAATATTATGGTTAGATGTTATATCAATTGACGTAAAGAATGGTTATTCCCTGATGTTGAATGGAGACTGATTAATATGTACAAGATTGTGGGACATCATGCTTTCTTTTAAATATTATGATTAGATGTCATATCAATTCACGTGATATATAATGATTGGAGGTTATAAGAAGTTATTACTGTGCAAACAAACAAAGAACAATGACTCTGTTTACTGAGCCAACGGGTTATAACTGATACTGGAAAAACACCGCCGTAGCCATGAAATTTACTTTTTTAATATGATTATTAGAATGAATGCTACTAAATCACTGCCTCTTTATAGCTTTACTGTTACTATCACCCATGGTGTTGATGTTACTAATGTTTTATTGTTATTAATATGTTGATCACGTGATATATATTGAGTATGTGTACTGGACATTGACATTGATATGATATTTCTGAGTATGTGATACACGAATATAATTATTTTTATGTGATTTGACTAAATTGACATAATTTTGACAGTCTTTATCGATGTTTTGATTTGATATTTTATACGATTTCTCTACTAATTGTAGTATTAATGTGATGATTGTTTTAATGATGTGACACTTATACTTTTTTATTGATTTCTATTGTATTGCCCTGTGATCATATGCATGCTACTATTTTGATTCGACTGCTGACATGCATATTGGTTATCTACCGTGCATTGAGGTCAGTTGTAAGATTTGATTTCTTGCTTAGTTGTTTAGCTCTTTATATGTGGTTAAATGATTTCAATTCAGGATAAGAAAGCAGGAGTATGAAATTGATCATGATCCTTCATGTTCATATTTCTTTTCTTGTTATTTTAGTTATTTTTGTGTACTTAAGACAGAGTAGTTGTGATATTATTATATAGATTATGAGTAGTGTATATGATTTTTGAGAATGAATACAAATTTGAATATTGATGCTTTGACTAGTAGTTGTTTCTACTGATAATTATTATTGCTAAAAGAAATTGGATAGCTTTGTTGATGTTATTAAAAGATAAAAAAGAATAATACTTTCAAATTAGATTCATAGTTGGTATCAGAGTATAGTTTTTTGGGAGAATTAAATTGTTACCAGATCTGTAAGAATTAATAGTGAGTCGGGTAGATTGAGGTGCATTATTTTGCACATGTTTAGGGTATGAAATTTTTTTTTACCAACATGGCCATTCAAATCCACAGTGTATATTAAAGTGTTGCAGTATTGTACACTTGTGCACTGCAACGTCGTAGGATGCAACATGATGATGCTGCATTCTTTACTTAGTGACAAAGAGCGGAGCGCCGCTAGTTTAGCTAGAGATAGTGAGTGGAGCATCGAGGCGCTGCAAGTCAAAGTGGACAGTTTTCTTTCTTATTTTTCATATTTTAACTTGAAGGTTTAAGTCCTTTGGTCGAATAAGAAAAGCGAGTGGAGGTCGAGGCCGAATTTTCGGAGCCCACAGCTGGACAGTTTTCTTTCTTATTTTTCATATTTTAACTTGAAGGTTTAAGTCCTTTGGTGTATTCAAAAGTGTCTCTTTGTCCGTTTTGAGTGAAGAATGAAGAGAGTGAAGATAGAAAAAAAGAGAGTGCGAGAAGAGAGATTTATACAACTTCTCTCAATTTTTATTGTGAATTTCTTGGCTTGATGTGTCTAAGTGGATTTTCCCCAATTTCTGACTTTTCATATTAAATCTTGGTGTTTATTTCCACTATTTTCTTTTCTTGTTTGTTTCGTTGCTTGATTTACTTCCCAGCAATTAACAATCTCGCCCTATGCTTGCTCAACAAGTTTCTCTTTCTAATGGTTTTTTAGTTGTTACGGTTTATATCCTCAATTAATTTATTTAATTAGTGCAATATAATATCCAAAATATTAGTTAATTTCTAATTAATAACCTGACTAATCATCAGCTTAAAAAATAATTAGGATAATTTAGTATCTAGCTTTAAATAAACAGTCTAAACTGCTGAGCAATCGAGCATTTTCATCCTAAAAAAAAAAAAAAAGTTGAAATCCAGAAAAATAAACGCTTTAATTTCTAGAAAAAATGGGGCCTGATACTTGATCGAGGACGTGAATTTGAGAGTGGAAACTGGAAACGCACAGTTTTTCTTCTGTATAAGAGATGCTTCAAGTGATATATATCCTAGCTCTGAATGGGACATGAATTATGAAGGTGAAAAATTCTGCAAGAAAACATACGACAGTGTAGATTTATATGTACTTGTTCGTTTGTATGTGAGCATGAATAAATGTGCAGTGCCTAGCTAGAGTTTTGTCCTCATCAAACTGTAGAAGAAACTTTGTTTGAGCCCACATGTCAAAGTCTTTTCTGTCTGTACTGTTTAATTTGGAATCAATTTTTTCATCAACTGAATTTCTCAAAATTCTCTCTCTTCCTCAAGGAAATAAGTAGCCATACAAGCATCATAAAAAGGAGAAATTATTCTGGACGCAGCTCTACATCTAGATCCCGCGGAACTGAGCGGTACCGAGTCTCAATACCGAGCTGTGGTGCAGTAAATGAGCGACGTGGTGCATTTTTATTGATCTCCAGATGACATTCAGTGTCCGCACAAAATAATTTTTCCATAAAAAGAGAGAACAAGTGGTAGATTGAAATATGCATTTGTAAATTTATTAATGTATACAATCATTAAGTATAGGAATATGTGATACCCATATAGGTTTTTTTTAATAATAATGAAATATCTATAGAAATTCGGTGATGAACATGAATTTTCTCTCAGTGGGGGTATCTTCCCAATTCTTTACTCGATTCCTCAAGCCATATTCTTAACTGGCTGGCTTTTTGGTTTTGATGATCATCTTCAGGAATTATTGAGAGGCGCCTTTAATTTGCTAAATGACTTGTGATTCACTCACCAACAGAGCACAAGAGCTGGGGTCTCTAAGCATTATCCAGGAATCTGCTTTACATGTTTGAGAATATTAAAGGAACGGAAAGCTTGGCAAGTACTGCAGCTGATTGAAAAGAAAAAGGTTCTCTCAGTGCCTTACATATCTACTATTTCTTTTTTTTTTTTTTTTTTGCAGGGGAATTAGCATCTTTTTATGTTTCTGATTGAGTTAATCAAACCCAACTAAAATCCATATCTGTAGATCTTTTTTAAAAGGAAATTATATGGTTAAGGATGATGTTTTAGAGGGATAACATAGGTAAAAAATTGGCATGCTTTAATGCAAAAAAAAAAATCAAGGTGACAACTTTTATTTTTATTTTTTGTTCTTTGAAGTGGCATACATTTACTTTTGGTGCAATTAGCTCTAATAGAAAATACACAACTAAAACTCTCAATTTGATATTTAGGCTTCATTTGGGACGGCTTTTTTGTTGCTTCTTAAAGCAATTTTTTTGTTTAAAAATTAATTTTTTTTACTAAAATGCTGCTTTAAGAAGCAGCAAAAAAGCCTTCCCAAACAAAGTCCTAGTTTAGTTGCATATCAGTTACTATTTTCAGGCAGGTTCTCATCACTGACAGATGATTTGAATAAAGAATGAAACTGGGAAGCTCTCTCTTCATTGTAGTACTTACTGATCTTTAATTGCATTCTGCGTTTAATGATGATCAGACCAAAGGAATGTTTCCTCTTAACACAGCAGCACTTTGCAGATCAATCACGTAAAAATCAAATTCTGATTCTGCAAGGCATATTCTGTTGCTGAACATCACACTTAAATGAATACTCTTTAGTCTTTACTAGTGCTTTTAACATTTTTGGATAGCTTTGAGTTCGAGGTTATGGCAAAATAATTCTGTTTGTGATTAAGCTTTGATCAGAGAAGATATGGTGAACTATGATATTTTTTGAAGCTAAGCTTTTCATGTTCAGAGAAATATAAGATTTTGGTTTAATTCCATTTTTCCCAGTGCTTACCTTTCTTTTAAAACAGTTTTGAATTATAGGAGAAGACATTCATGTAAAATTTTGAAAATTTTATCATATAAATTATCATATTTTTATATAAGTCTAAAGTGGTTACTTTTCAGAGGAATATAAGTTTAAATTTATAAGTATATTGATACTTTGGAACTGGTTCTGGTCTCCATCTGAAACTGTAGAAGCTTTTGTTGGCTGATTAAAAATTATAGTGCTCATACTTATTGCTCAAAGAACTGTTAGATAACAGCATTTGAACTACTTATAAGCCTGCATTTCCCTTGATGCTTCCTATGCTTTAACTTATATGACAATTTTCGCCTTAAAAGATCAAATGGCCTTCTCACACATCTTCCTCCTCTTGTAACTTAGCTATCATTGTTCTCATCAAAATGGAATCTTTTTCTCACAATATGTTCTCTTCCATGGACTAATGAGCAGGTGGAGTTTTATTATTTCCTTGTTTGAAGTTATGGATAATTGGATTCCTTGATTCTCCATCATCAGAAAAGCCAAAGGCAATCTGCCACCTTCATTAAAGAAACATTGGTGGCTTCTGAAATGTGAAATTTCATTCTTGACATCTCCACTGTTCTCTCTGTAGCATAGAGGAAAGGAATATTAGAGAAAGGAGAAGCAGTCAATTATGTTTTCCCTTCAAAGCAATGTGCTGTTGAGAAAGTTAGACATTCATTATTGAATATGGTGGGGCTCTCTAATCAGGGAGAGAATCCAGTAAGGAATTGGCAAGAAAACAATGCACTCTTTTTCTTCTTTTCTCTCCTTTTGAGACGCTTATGTGAACTATTCTTATTCTCTGTTTACTGAAGTGAAGATTCTCTAGCTTTCAAGTCAAAGAAATGGAAAGAAAAAGGTTAGCCTGAAATCAAAGGAAGAGGGCATGGTGTGGACAAAGCTCATGCTTATATTCTTCTACTCAGCCCAGTTATGTTTATTTTAATACACGGAGAAAGGATATTTCAGTGAAGCTTAGATAGAACAAAGTAGAGCGGCATATTTGTATGTTGTAGAAGGGAGGGTAAGAATATTTAAGCTTTCTTATATGTTGTCGACTGTTTCTCCTCCAATTTCTCTTACTCCTTTAATCAAATTGGTTTTTAGAAAATGCCGAACCATGTAGATCAGCAAGGACTGGTTCTCTCAGTCGATGCAAAGCCGAGACTCAAATGGACTAGACAGCTTCATGAACAGTTTGTTGATGCTGTGACAGAGCTTGGAGGAGCAGAGAGTAAGTTCTCCTTCATCTAATGTTCTGAATACAATTAGTCAGTTCAGGTTTTCAGATTTTTTATTTCCTCGTTTTCTTGTTCCAATGGTAGAAGCAACACCCAAGTTGGTGATGCGGTTGATGGCAGTGCCTGGGCTCACTCTCTATCATTTGAAGAGTCATCTTCAGGTATTTGACTATCACTTTTCTCTCCCTCTTCTTCCATTAAGTGGAAATTCTGATATGAAAACTGCTCTATCTCTCTTCTCAGAAATATAGGCTCGCAAAGAATCGGGATCCGAGCACTGTTAATGATGATAAGAAGACAAGTAATTTTCTGTTCTGTTTCAGTGATCTAAAATTTGCTTCAATTCGTTATTTTTACCTCATTACTGCCATTAAATGTTATGTTATTGGTATGGCAGATGATGAGTTGAAGGACACCGATGATAAATCCCAACCTGAATTCAATGAGTAAGATACAAATCACTTCAAGTAATTAGTTCCCCCATGAGACCTGATTAATTAATATTGCTCCTTGTTCTTTCAGAGCCATGCTGCAACAGATACAAATAGATGTTCAAAGAAAATTGCAAGAACAGATTGAGGTTTAATCAAATCATTCCTCCATTTAAGACTAGAATTTTGTTACAATGAAAGATGAATAGATATAAGTTGAGTTCCAAAGAAACAAGTGGTGCACTTGCTCGTTCGCTTAAATTTTGAATTTCCTCCTATTCCTATCCAGGTTCAGAAGCACCTTCAACTGAGGATAGAGGCTCAGGGGAAGTACTTGCATTCAGTGCTGAAAAAAGCCCAGGAAACACTTGCTGGGTATAGCTCCACTTCTCTAGGAACCGAGGCTGCAAGGACCGAACTATCAGAGCTTGTCTCAGCAATGGAAACTGAGTGCCGAAGCTCATCTTTCAACAATGGAGGTTCCATTTCCAAAAGAAACCAGAATGCTGATTCCTCCATGGATAGTTGCTTGACTTCAGAACTATTTGAGCTAAGAGAAAAATATGCTGGCTACCACAAGCTTGAGGCCAGCCCTTGTTCCAACATAACAGTAAAAAATCGAGGAGAATTACAAGAATTTGATCTAAATAAATAGTGATTAAAATAAAATAAACTTTGTGATATATAGAGTTGCTTATAAGCAATGAAAATGTTATGTGCGCTCAAATATATGAACTTTCTGACTTCTAAAGCTTTTCCTTTAATTGTCTCTGCAGTTTCGATCACTGATCTACTTATCGCAGCACAAACTGAATTTCTAAGATTTTTTTTTCATTAGCACGTTAATGAGAAATGGAATTTAGAGTTCATTCAAATAGAAAATAAAGATTGTAAAGGGGATCAAACATACAAGTTAATAAAGTATTATTTTAAATGCCTGACGCACTATCGATTTTTTTTCTTTTTTTTTTCTTATGGCAACTTAATCCTTGATATGGGTTAAATAACCTTAGGCGCAGAACTCATTGTGGGATGGGAGTTGGGACAAAATAGTGAAATATAGGAAGGGTTGCTTCTGTAATTAAGGAGAATTTAAAATGTGCTTATAGAACATTGAAGCAAATAGTTTATTAGGATGAATTAGCAGTATTGTCATTACATGAATCAGGGTCTATAGCAGAGGTTTACGTTGAATGATGAGAGCAACAGCCCAATTTCTATTGAAGTGAAGATTCATGTACATGCAAAGATAGAAGGAATTACTCATAAATATATAATTAGATGTTCGAAAGTAAATGATCAATAAATACATATGACATCAAAATAAATAAGAAAAAACTGAGAAAAAACAAAAACAAGCAAGGTTCTACTCATAAAATATTAGGATGTTGAATTCACAATTATCTGTAAAACACATTCAGTAATACTAAATATACATGATGAAAAGAGAACCGAAAAATAGAGAGAGAATAATTCTATAGTAAGAAGTTATGAGATTTTAGTAAAATGGGCTTGAGTATAGAGAATTGAGCCTTTGAAGACCAATTGAAAAAAAAAAGCATAAACTGAGCTTATCCCTAGACTCCAGTATTTGGATTAGGGCTTGAGCATGACAAAGTTGACTACATACATGATCATATAAAAAATAAGAGAAAATATAATTATTGTGTGGCCTGATAGAAATGTTCAATTGTAGAAAGTCTTATGCTAAGTTTTAAAGATGTTGTTAACATTATATATATATATATATATACTCAAATGGCTGAATATTTGATCAATAGTTTATATTTAAAGCAAAGTATACGTAGTTAAAAAGTCTCCAAGAAAGTAGCCAATGATCCTTCTCTTCAGTTTTTTTTTTTTTCAATTATTTTCTTTCTATTGAAGGGTTGACTATAAGTTGCCCAATTTAAGGGCCAAAAGATTTGAATGTAATAAAAAAAATCTTATTTTTTTTGTCTTTGATTTGATGAGTTGAGTCTTTGATGTGAACATATGTCATTTTTTTATTAAAAAATATCAATATAATCAATACATATCAACATAAAATATTTAAAGTTCAAATTTATTATTTGAAAAGATCTATGTTAAATGAGATATGGTTTGGCCTCAAGATAAGCATCTTCTTTGAAGTTATAAAAAGCCAAGTAATTTATATTTGAAACCTTTACGCTACCATTTCAATTGCTCTCTAGAGTTCCACTGTCTTCACTTTTTCATATTCCTCTATAACTTTTTGAGAGAGAGCTTTCAATCATGTCAACTTTCAAGAAAAGCAATGAAGCATTTCTAATTTGTTCTCTGACTTTGCTAACCAAGCTGTCAAAGGTGAATTTAAGTGCATTTTCAATAATAGCTTTAATGTTTGAGTTGTAGAGAAGGTGAGTTCCTAAATACAATCATCAAGAATGCAATGTGTTGCTACTAAGACTAGTTCAAACTCTGCATGCTCTTCCCATTATGCATAAAGCTGATTGATATTAGAAACTTCTATGGAGTAATATCAGCTCAAATCATGTCGAACAGCTTCGCAAGTATCATGTCCCTGATATTTAATACTACTCCTCTTTCACCTCTTCTTAGTGAAGGCATTTAAGAATGGCTTCATCCTATTCGCTTATATGAGCATGGTTGGCCTTAAGAACAAGATAAAAAATTCGGAGAACATATTTGATTTTTTGAACTCAGTCAAGAAGTGGCTAATTTTCACCAAGCCCTCGTCGTTTCCCATGAATAGGTGTCAGCTTCCCCTACTGAGAAAGGACAAATACTCACACTACTTTAAGATTAAAGAACTCGATTTGAAAAGCTATGATGTTCATTGATTATGATTTATTGGAGCAATGTCATACCCATAAGTTCCCTGCTTCCCTGTGACTGCCATATACGATGTTCATTGATTATGATTTATTGGAGCAAGTGTTGTATTCTTTTGGCTTATTGGATTGAAGGTCTTAGTATAATTCAACCCGTACTCTTGATGATTTCCTTGCACTACGAGTCTTGCTTTATATTAAGCGAGGAGGTTGATCGACAATCGGCAAGCTAAAGGATGAGATCTACCAAAAGAATACAACACTTGCAATAATGACTTCTATTGCCCATCAACAAATGACAAAACTTGAAGATCAAGTTGTAGAAATCGTAGATGATCAAGAAAGCTCAAGAAAGAGAAGCAACCAGAGAGATGAAGGAAAAGAAAAATATATTTCTATTTATTATATTGACAGATGTCTATGCTATTTATAATAATACTTACAGCATACTCAAGCACCGGTTACAGGGAAAGCAATACAAAGAATTTAACTGAGTTTATCTTTATACTCTAATATGCACCTGCAAACTGATGGATCTTGAGCGACGCTCAGTTTGAGTCTAAGTTGAAGAAATCACGATGTGGATAAGGATTTGGTAAAAATGTCAGCCACTTGGTCGATTGTGATGATTAGCAGTAGTCGAATGCTTTGTTGCTGAATGTGATCACGAACAAACCTATAATCAATTTCTATGTGTTTGATGTGAGCATGAAACACTGGATTGTTTGCCAGTGCTATTGCGGAGGTGTTGTGACAGTAGATGCCAGTTGGTTGAGCTTGGGGAACATCAAAGTCCCTGAGAATGCGTCTTAGCCAGATGACGTTTGCTATGAGTGCAGCTAATACTTTATACTCGGACTCTGTGGATGATCGAGCAACAATAGACTTTTTCTTGACCCTCCATGAGATTAATGTGTCACCCAGGTAGGATCAATATTGTAAAACCCCTCAGAATTTCATTTTTTTTAGGTGCAGTTAGTCTGTACGAACTGACTTTAGTACGTACAAACAGTGAAAATTTATTCAGTTAGTCTGTATGAACTGCCTGTACGAACTGAGTAAAGTGCAGGTTCGTCCGTACGAACCTGAGTTCATCCGGGATGAACAAAACAAAATTTTTGCCCTAGAACATCGTCCAGGGATGAAGATTCATTATCGTCTGTTAAATCTGTGTATAGAGGAGATCATCCCGGGACGAATGGAAAACATAGTCGGAACGATCAAGTTAATTAAATAGATGATTTGAGATATTTTGAAGAGAGAGAAAGCTGGAGAGAGAAAGAGAAGGAAAGAGAAAGGAAAGGCTTGGTTTCGGAGGTCACAGAGCAATTTTCGTCCGTCGACGCAGTTGTAAGAATTGTTTGTCTCGCTGTAAAGAATCTGAATCCTATTTTTGATTTCAAAGATTTTGAGTTTTGATATCTTTCTGCTCAGTTTTGTGTTTCCGTTATCAAAATTCTTGCATATATTTGTATTGACGAACTTTTACCGCGTAACTTTTGGTATGCTATAAAGATGATGATGTTGCACGATTTGAGTATTTTCTGGAAAGTTTTCACCTAGTATTTTGAATTTTGTGGGATTTTTATGGAATAGGAAATTATTTGGATGTTGAAAAATATTGCTTCAGTACAATAAAAGTCTTGAAATGATGTTTTATTCAATTTCTGTTAATTTAGTAATTTTCTGAAACTGTGTAATTTGATCATGTTTGGGATTTCTGTCAATTGTATGATATTTTAAGGATTTTCTTCAATTAAGATAAATTGTGTTTATTGATTGCAATGTATTAATGAGATGTATACGGATGTGGATATATGATTGAAATATTGTTATATTACTGAAAGATAAGTAAAGACTGGTTAAACTGTTGGTTGGAGATTGATTGACCTATACAGGATGGTGGGCCGACGGGCTTTCCTTTAAAAAGGGTTTGGTGTTATCATCTATTGATCACGTGATATAATGATTGAGAGTCATAAGGAGATTATGTCGACAGGCGAAGAGTGACGACTCTATTATTGAGGCAACGGATACAACGATACATCGATATTCCAAAACTGAAAAATGCCTTAATAGCCAGTGATTGTACTTGTTGAGTAAAACTATTGTATTAAATTGCATGTTTAAAGTATTGTTCTTATGATTACCCTATGGATTTATTGATATTGAATTGATCTATTATTACCGATTGATTTATTGATTACCGTACGAATTTACGGATATTGACGAATTTATTGATATTGAATGGATTAACTGACGGATTTACGGGTTAACTATTATTGCATAATTTTATTGATATTGCATACTGTACATGTCACTGGATATATATACTGATAGGGATATTGATATTGCATTGATTCATGGATACTTCAGATACCGATATTATTGATTCATCGATATTATGGATTCATTTATTCATTGATACATCGAATATTGATCTGTTACATGTGATACACTGAACACGTGATATAAAATATGCTTTTACTGTATTGATTTGATTTCAACTGTTTTTCACGATGTATTGATTTGATTGTTTTATATGATTTCATACCGATTGATATTATTGACCGGAGATGATTTTTTTATTCAATGATTTGATTGATTCTATTGATACGATATTGATTTAACTAATATTACTGATATGATCATTTTCTCTATGGATTTGACCGCTGTTTTAAGATATGATGGAATTAACGTATGTACTGATTTATTGAGCATTATTGATTTTCTACTGTTTATTGATTCTCCTACTGATGACTGTGAATTTTATTGATTATGCATTGATTACTGATTTTTATATCTGCATAGATTCAATGATCATGTGCAAGTGACTATTATTAATTTAACTGATTTACATGCATATTATTTTTGTACAGTGCTTTGATTTCAATTGTAGGTTTTTGGTGACCTGTTGGGCTTTTTGAAGCTCATTATATGTGATTAAT